GCCCGGGGGAAGCGGGAGACGTGGAATTCTCTGCCTTGGGGAAGTGGGATCCGTGGAATTGGAAGCCATGGAATTCCGGAAGTGCCTGGGGGAATGGCAGCCGTGGAATTCCCGGCCCTGGGGACTTGGGATCCATGGAATTCCCGGCCTGGGGGAATTGGGATCCATGGAATTCCCGGCCCGGGGGAATTGGGATCCATGGAATTCCCGGCCCGGGGGAATTGGGATCCATGGAATTCCCGGCCTGGGGGAATTGGGATCCATGGAATTCCCTGCCCGGGGGAATTGGGATCCATGCAAGTGGGATCCATGGAATTGGGATCCATGGAATTCCCGGCCCTGGGGAATTGGGATCCCTGGAATTCCCGGCCCTGGGGAATTGGGATCTGTGGAATTGGGATCCATGGAACTGGGAGCCATGGAATTCCCTGCCCTGGGGAAGCAGGAGACATGGAATTCTCTGCCCTGGGGAAGTGGGATCCATGGAATTGGGATCCATGGAATTCCCGGCCCTGGGGAAGCGGGAGACGTGGAATTCTCTGCCTTGGGGAAGTGGGATCCGTGGAATTGGGATGCATGGAATTCCCTGCCCTGTGGAATTGGGATCCATGGAATTGGGAGCCATGGAATTCCTTGCTCTGTGGAATTGGGATCCATGGAAGTGGGATCCATGGAATTCCCTGCCCTGTGGAAGTGGGATCCATGGAATTGGGATCCATGGAATTCCCTGCCCTGGGGAAGTGGGAACCATGGAATTGGGATCCATGGAATTGGGATCCATGGAATTCCTTGCTCTGTGGAAACAGGATCCATGGAATTGGGATGCATGGAATTCCTGGCCCTGGGGAAGTGGGAGACGTGGAATTCCCCAAATCACCTGGAATTCCCTTTGTGGAATTGGGATCCATGTCCCCAAATCAGCCGGAATTCCCGGCCCTGGGGAAGCAGGATCCATGGAATTCCCTGCCCTGGGGAATTGGGATCCAGGGAATTTCCTGCCCTGTGGAAGTGGGATCCGTGGAATTGGGATGCATGGAATTCCCTGCCCTGGGGGATTGGGATCCATGGAATTCCCTGCCCTGGGGAATTGGGATGCATGGAATTCCCTGCCCTGGGGAATTGGGATCTGTGGAATTGGGATCCATGGAATTGGGATGCATGGAATTCCTGGCCCTGGGGAATTGGGATCCGTGGAATTGGGATGCATGGAATTCCTGGCCCTGGGGAATTGGGATCCATGGAATTCCCGGCCTGGGGGAATTGGGATCCATGAAAGTGGGATCCATGGAATTGGGATCCATGGAATTCCTGGCCCTGGGGAAGTGGGAGACATGGAATTGGGATGCATGGAATTCCCTGCCCTGGGGAATTGGGATCCGTGGAATTGGGATCCGTGGAATTGGGAGCCATGGAATTCCCTGCCCTGTGGAAGCAGGATCCATGGAATTGGGATGCATGGAATTCCCTGCCCTGGGGAATTGGGATCTGTGGAATTGGGATCCGTGGAATTGGGATCCATGGAATGGGGATCCATGGAATTCCCGGCCCTGGGGAAGTGGGAACCAGGGAATTCCCTGCCCTGGGGAATTGGGATCTGTGGAATTGGGATCCATGGAATTGGGATCCATGGAATTCCTGGCCCTGGGGAAGTGGGAGCCATGGAATTCCTGGCCCTGTGGAATTGGGATCCATGGAATTCCCTGCCCTGGGGAAGCAGGAGACGTGGAATTCTCTGCCTTGGGGAAGCGGGATCCATGGAATTGGGAGACGTGGAATTCCCGGCCCCGGGGAATTGGGATCCATGGAATTCCCTGCCCTGGGGAATTGGGATCTGTGGAATTGGGATCCATGGAATTCCTGGCCCTGGGGAAGTGGGATCCGTGGAATTGGGATCCATGGAATTCTCGGCCCTGGGGAATTGGGATCCATGGAATTCCCGGCCCGGGGGAATTGGGATCCATGAAAGTGGGATCCATGGAATTGGGATGCATGGAATTCCTGGCCCTGGGGAAGTGGGAGACATGGAATTGGGATCCGTGGAACTGGGATCCATGGAACTGGGATCCATGGAATTCCCGGCCCTGGGGAATTGGGATCCATGGAATTGGGATCCATGGAACTGGGATCCATGGAATTCCCTGCCCTGGGGAATTGGGATGCATGGAATTCCCTGCCCTGGGGGATTGGGATCCATTGAATTCCCAGCCCTGGGGAATTGGGATCTGTGGAATTGGGATCCATGGAATTGGGATGCATGGAATTCCCTGCCCTGGGGAATTGGAATCCATGGAATTGGGATCCATGGAACTGGGATCCATGGAATTCCCTGCCCTGGGGAATTGGGATCTGTGGAAGTGGGATCCATGGAATTGGGATCCATGGAATTCCTGGCCCTGGGGAAGTGGGAACCAGGGAATTCCCTGCCCTGTGGAATTGGGATCCATGGAATTGGGATGCATGGAATTCCCTGCCCTGGGGAAGTGGGATCCATGGAATTCCCTGCCCTGGGGAATTGGGATCCATGGAATTGGGATCCATGGAATTGGGATCCATGGAATTCCTTGCTCTGTGGAATTGGGATCCATGGAACTGGGATCCATGGAATTCCCTGCCCTGGGGAAGCAGGAGACATGGAATTCCCGGCCCTGGGGAATTGGGATCTGTGGAATTGGGATCCGTGGAATTGGGATCCATGGAATTCCTGGCCCTGGGGAAATGGGAACCAGGGAATTCCCTGCCCTGGGGAATTGGGATCTGTGGAATTGGGATCCATGGAATTGGGATCCATGGAATTCCCTGCCCTGGGGAATTGGGATCCGTGGAAGTGGGATCCATGGAATTCCTTGCTCTGTGGAATTGGGATCCATGGAAGTGGGATGCATGGAATTCCCTGCCCTGGGGAAGTGGGATCCATGGAATTCTCTGCCTTGGGGAATTGGGATTCATGGAATTGGGATCCATGGAATTCCCTGCCCTGTGGAAGTGGGATCCATGGAATTGGGAGACGTGGAATTCTCTGCCTTGGGGAAGTGGGAACCAGGGAATTCCCTGCCCTGGGGAAGCAGGATCCATGGAACTGGAATCCATGGAATTCCCTGCCCTGGGGAAGTGGGAGATGTGGAATTCTCTGCCCTGGGGAAGCGGGATCCAAGGAATTCCCCAAATCAGTCAGAATTCCCAGCCCTTTGGAAATGGGATCCATGGAATTCCTTACCCTGGGGAAGCGGGATCCATGGAATTCCCTGCCCTGGGGAATTGGGATCCGTGGAATTGGGAGCCATGGAATTCCCGGCCCGGGGGAATTGGGATCCATGGAAGTGGGATCCATGGAATTCCCGGCCTTGGAGAAGTGGGAGATGTGGAATTCTCTGCCCTGGGGAAGCAGGATCCAAGGAATTCCCCAAATCAGTTGGAATTCCCAGCCCTTTGGAAGTGGGATCCATGGAATTCCTTACCCTGGGGAAGTGGGATCCATGGAATTCCCTGCCCTGGGGAATTGGGATCCATGGAATTGGGAGCCATGGAATTCCCTGCCCTGGGGAATTGGGATCCATGGAATTGGGAGCCATGGAATTCCCTGCCCTGGGGAATTGGGATCCATGGAATTGGGAGCCATGGAATTACCTGCCCTGGGGAAGCGG